TAAGATGCAACTGTGTTCTTTTCTACGTAGATATTTAATAAAAATACCTTTTTGATCCAAAAATTTAAAAAGCAGACAAACAAATCTGCTTTTGCAGATAATACTCTTCATGGAAAAGTTTAACATCTATATCTTTTGCTGTTACTGTTTTTTAAAATTGTTCAGTAAAAGACACAAACATGAATCAGGTTGCAAATCCACCAATGTTATTTTCTGTTTACTTGCAACTGCAGAATACTGTGGTACTACTCAATTTCAAACACATAAAAATATGTGCACTGAGTCTTTTGTCATTTTTTTCTCATTTTCTAAAACTATCGATTATTACCACATCAAAAACATGGTTAAAGTTGTGATCTTAGAAAAATAAAAACATGAGAACTATTCTGGAACATTACAGTAAACATTTGATGTATGAATCATCCAGTAGATATGGTGTTGAAAGGCTGGAGATTTTTATTCATTATGAGGTCCTTCTGATGTATTATTTGACTTCAAGTAACATGACTCATATTTTCAGTAATTCAAAGTAATTTGCTAATCACAGTATAGCACAAACAGTTTATAGAGATTATCACTATTATTGTTATTATAACTCAGTAAATATGAGATCCAAGATTTATTTCCAAATGATGTCAGATAAAATGTCAGTGTTTGCTCGTTCAGTGTCCAGTCCTGGTTTGACTAATGAGATTTCATATGCTCAGACTCCTTGTAGGGACACAAATCCCCCCGTGACAGCAGCAGGGAGGGAGTGGCTGGTGCTCAGGGTGTTCTGTGGGCAGGAAATGTTGGATTTGGTCACATCCTCCCCCTGCAAGGATTGGTACCAGCACAACCTACATGTCTGGGGCCCCAGGCCTGTGGTGGGGGGTGTTGAACTGCCAGGAGACAAACTGGACAGAGAACTCATGAGTTCCCTTTGCAGTGGATTCCACAGTATTTATCTTCAGTGTCCCGTCCAAAGTATTCTGTGTCTGGCAGTGGGACAACTTGCACCCATTCTGCTATGACAGGATTTCAGTTTGGTTTGGAAATTACGATAGAAGCTTTGCCCATGTCTGAGATCAGCCTTCCCTCAATGCTGAGAAATGCAAAAAGCGATTTTTTTTTTTTCTTAACCTGCTTAGGTAATAGCCAGAATCAAGTCTGCAAATAAAATACGATCAAGGCTTGAATATGTTGTGTTTTAGTCACAAGTAGAAGCAGAAAGTCTTATATGTCCTAAGAGAATCCGGTCACAGGATATTCAGATAAATATCCTAATTTCTGGCTTTTTGTCTGGACTTTGAGCCTCTTAGGGTTCCTTAATTGCCAGCTTGAAACCACAGCATTTTGGCTGAGATGGAAAGGTAGTCTGGCTATGCTGCTCTAAACTAGGACCTCAGCTGTGAGAAGTAAAGCTTTTTCTGAGAACTTGACAAGTCCTGGATCTTCCCTTAAGATTTATAAAAGTGCTTACAAATACATACTGTTCCTATTTTTCGTTTCAGTCATGGGTTGTACTCAAATAGCAAGAAAACCCTATAAAACTAAAAAATGGTTAGGGAGTTATAAAAATACTCTCACTGCTTCATTATTTTAGCATTACTGTGGTCAGATTTCAATCTTCACATGCTTCCTATACCGTTGGAATTCAGAATTATTTGTCAGAGCAGTGGCTGTGCTAGGAGATGCTGGAAGAAAGTTGAAGGCTCATAGGAATTCATAAAAGCTCTGCCACCAGCACAGTTTCCTCTGTGATGATTCTTGCCTTGTTTCTGCAGGCTGCTGAAACTTCCTGAGGCTAAAAGTAATGCTACTCAGCTTTCTTTTTTTTTTTTTCTTCCTTTTTTTTTTTTTTTTTTTTTTTTGATAATGGAATGGGCCAGGTGTCAGAAGGTATCAGGTATTTTCTACAAGTCACAGGAAGCATCCTCCAGACCCCAGACAGGGCTGAGCTGTGCCCTGCCTCACCCTTTTCAAACTGGGCCACCCAAGCCACTCCTTTTTGCTGTTCCTGTACTCGTTGTATTCCTCATGAACAAGGCACCTGCCTTTCCAGCAAAGTGTGAATTTGCATGTCCAGGGGTTACCTTTCTCCAGGCTTATGAGAGATTTGTTTTAGGGTTCTTTGGGGTTTTTTTTAAAGTTACAGATGGATTCCCAAGCACCTCCCTCGAGCTTTGCTCCTGCTACACAAAGTTTATGGTGGGGTAAGTAAGCAGATTTCTGTGGGAGCCTTTGTCACAGTGTTGGCAGCACTGCCAGCTGCTATCCTGTAAAGTTTGGCATACAGGATGATCATCTCAGTGATAATTTATAGATAACCTGTTTCCTTCCAAGATCCCCTCTGAAGATTCCTGAAAAGACAATGGACTTCCAGTCACCAGTGTCTGTATTTTTTTATGTTTACACTCAATTTATATCCTTTCTGCTTTTCCTCCTGCTCCTGCTGCTACTTCATTAGTCCTCCAGAAGGAAGATGTGTGTCAGGGAGTCAGAGGGAGTCTGGTTTATGATGATGTTCACAGACTGCCCTCCACAGTTCAGTTTGTCAGGGCTTGGCTGCAAACCAAGCCCTTCAGCTTTCCCTGGTGGTTTGAGTTTGGATGAACTTTGGCCTCCCAGCAATCATCATCCTGCTCCCCTTTCAGCTTGGCTCACATCAGCTTCCCAGCTTCTCCTCCCTTTCTGCTTGAGCTTGGCCTCCAGGAAACACCATTTGCCTTCCCTCTGTCTTGGTAGTCTCCATGCACACAACATCTTCCACCACTAATTCTAAAAAACTCCTGGAAGAAATCAGGAGGCTTGAGGTTCATGAGTAAAGAGGCAGAACTTCAGCTTTCCACTGCCCATTTCAGGAGAATTCACCCATTTACATTCTGCATCTCAATAGCTCTGATGAAGAAAGCAGTCTGTGTTGCTTAATCGTGTTCAAACTGTCTCACATAAAAACCCAATAATTAATTAGGACTTAAAAATGGCTCTGTATGTGCAGTCATTCCACATCCTTGATGAAAAAAAGATAAAGGTAAGATACCATAAATAATCCAAGATTTTTTCCAGCTTGTGGTTTAGAATCCAAAACTAGGTGATAGTTTGCACTTCGAGATATTTTGTATTTGACACTGTATCTGGCTCTGTAGCTCAAACTGAGATGGAAAAGCTAGGTGCACATTTGCATGAATTTTAAAGGATTTAATAAAATATTTGTAAATTTTTAAAATAATTTTAGGTTACAATTGACATATTGTGGAGTAAAGAAGGTTCCATGTTGAGAAACAACAAAGAAATTGTAAAAACATTAGAAACTGTCCCTGAGTTAAATAATAAACAATAAGAAAGTAATAATGCAACAAAACAACACATTACAAAGGACAGTTTCTGAAAAGTAATAACATCTTAGCCAAATGCATAACAGATACCTTACTCTTGCTGAAGTAGGAGCCATACTTTATCATAAGAAAAACAGAAGAAAGTGAATAACTGCTCAATATTTTGGCCTATTTTTTGTCAATTTTGCTCTTTTATCACAGGCTGCCCATAGCAGTTCACTATGAGGATGGCTGGTGTCACCACCCAGCATTGACACTGCCTGATGCTTTCAACAATAAGCTTGTATTTTCAGTATATTAAAAATTAGTCAGATTTAAACTGTTAGGCTGATTTTTGTTTTTCAGGTGTTTGCATCAGAGCCAGTCATTCTAGGTAATAAAACCAATAACTTTTTCATGTTATAATATAACTGTGAAGATCTTCTCTTTGAAGAGGGGAACTGAAAGCAATGAAGACAAGAGGAAGGTATAGATAAAAGGGGAAAGATCACTGAGAAGGAAACTGAATGAAGTGTGAAGTTTGGAAAGGTGAGACTGCATTTTATTGTGCAAGTAAACTGAACCTGGGATCAGAAGCAGTCTGGGAAGTGGCCAATTCACAAGAGCTTGTTCACATTTTTATATTTCCTGCATATGATTTAGGAATGACTGTCCCAGAGAGTACAACTATGTCTTAAAAGGTTTTTTTATCATCTTTATTGGTGGGAGTCTTCTATTAATCTGTACTGGCTGTTCTTGGCAGTTATGGTGTTTATTTCTCAGGATTGTGCACTGGGGTGTAGAGTCAGTGTCTTCTTTGCCTGAGCTAAACTCTGAAAACAGATTTTGAACTGAAACAGATTTAACAGACTTAGAGTATAAATGGAAGTGAAACCAACTTTTTAAAAAGTATTTAAGTGTGTTCTGGAATATTTCACATGTAGTTATTAGATACTTTAAAAGATGATAATCAGAGTTAATACTAGTAGAGAGAAAGAAGAGCATCTTAAAGAGTCTAAGCTCAATTCACAAAGGTGATACAGATTGAAAAATAATCCTGCTACACGTCTGTGTCCAACATTTCTTATTTTGAAGCCAAGTTAAACCTCATTTAAGATAATTCCATCGGAAATAGGAGGCCAAAACATCCTTAAGATTTTAGGCATCTTTTATGTATGAGGGAGTCTTAATCTCTACTGTATTCTATGGGAAAAGGAATGGAGGACTTAAGATATTTTTATAACATTTGCTGATCTAGTGCTTATATACAGTGCTATAGCATATAGGTATTTCAGAGAATGGAAATCCCTTTAGATTTTGCTACTTTTTCCTATAATCGTGTATGTGGAATCCATTTGTCAGGTTTGTAGGGAGACTCAGCTCCTCTCTTGCCTGAAATAAATCAGTCTAATCTATTTTCCTCTCTTATTTTAAGTAGGAAATTATTCTTTTTACTTACAACCTAAGAAGGATTCTAATTCTTTGCACAGAAGTAATTTGTCGAGGAAGGATTTCCTTATCTTCTTGTCTATTTGCTTAACCATGGAGATTGAAATGAACACAAGCAATCCTGATCTATTCTGAGTAGTTATTTGTTTTCCTTCATGTTTGCCTTGATACTAAGCAGCCCTGAGCCATGTAGCATTTGAGCACTTCCCAGTACTTCCATCCTGAAAGCAACCCACTGAGAGAGTAAAATATTACCTTCAGCCATGGAATCGATGCACAAGGAAATTACTTATTTAACAATAATTATCACTGAGCCAAGAATTTCACTTTGTCGTTCTCAACCATCTGTTATTTCATAGGCTCTGCACTACAAAAATAGCAGCCACTTTATTAAACAGAGAGAAAAAATCTCAGGGAGTTAATAACTGTTTTCCATAGGCAGAATTAAGGGTTTTTATTTGTATCACCTAAACAAATTTGCTAATGTGATTAAAACAAAAAATTGGATTTACAGTATTGATTTGAAATGATGCATTTTGTGTTACATAACAGAAAATATTCCTCTATCAGCTCTCATCTATTGTTCTCCTGCCTGCCCTCAGCTCCAGCCCTCTCTCCTCTGTGACATTGCAGAAAAGGATGCAGTGAATGCAAAACTCATTTTCCCTGCCTGAACAGTTTTTATCCTTTGGCCGTTTTGGTTGAACCAAGCCTGTAAATGTGGAAGAATACTTTATACTTTTGAAGTGTATGTTCCACACAAAGGTCAGGTAGAGTTTTTGTTATTTATGGAAATTATCTGGGTACCTTCCCGAACAATATTTAGAAAAATTTCAGTGAAATTCCAGCTGTTTAATCAACATCTCTGTGGTTGCTCTTGTACCCAGAACGCTAAACTAAGAATTAGTGACATGGGAGATATAATTTTGAAGTTTTCCTGTTTCCTTTTCCTCCCTCATATAGCCAGTTTTTAAATGCAGATTTAAATATTGGGTGGCTTGGAGCACAGATGTTTTATTTTGAAGTTCTGAAGTGCTGAAGGATTAGGGATTGCTCAGGAGAATATATTGGCTCAAAAACCTTTTGAAGGATATTTGAATAGCTCTTATGACATTAAATGACCAGACCAAAAAAATGTCATCTTCTAAACAAAGTTCTTGAAAAGCTCAGGAGGGAAAATCCTGCAAAAGTGCTTTAGTATCACATGAGGGATTGAAAAGAAAATAGTTTTCCTATTCCTTAACACTGTTAATTCTTTAAAATCTGGAGGCATTCAAATAATTTTCAGCTGAATTTTTGGAAGTATTAGTAATTTTCATTTATTTCATATTATGTAGGATATAGAATATTTAGAAGCTACTTGTTCTGTGACAGGGAGGTTCCTGTGTGGAATTGTGCAGGGAACAATGTGCAAATAAGACAAAACTGTGAGATTAAAACCCTATATTAAGATAGACCTCTCAAAAAACCTGCCTAATGCTGCTTTCACTGTGCCACGTTTGGGAGATGTGTTCTTTCCTTTTACCCTGCAAGCACAGGTAGAGATCATAGAATCATTTAAGTGGGAAAAGATCCTTTAGATCACCAAGCCCAACTGTAAATCAAGTCCAGCCATCATGTAGTTGACATCATGTATGTAATAGTTCATTATTTAATACCAAGCCATAGGATTTTAAACCTAATTGAGAGATTACTTCACAACAGGAATATGTTAAAGTGTTGCTGTTGTACTGTTGTATTACCTTCACCAGAGTGGATGGTTTCTGTTTTGCCCTCTTTAATGACATTGTACCTCAGAGATTAGTGATACAACTCGTTTCAGAGTTAGGTAGAGAAATAAACCGATTTCTTTGTTTAAGCAGGCAGTAGCTAAATGGATAATGCTTGTACCTTCAGTTTCTGCACAAATTACCCTACTGCTGGAAATGTGGAATCTGCTCAAGTAGGAGCACCTCCAGTATTCCTCCAGTGTCTTTTATTTTCCCTGACAGTCTGTCCAAGAAACCATCAAAATCTTCGAGTTGCTACTATGAAACCAAACCTGCAGCTGCCCCTTCTCATCCTCACAGAGAGAGAGGGATGCTCTGCATTTCACAGAAATTAATCCCAGCAGTTCAATTGTTGTTATGCTGCAGCATTCCATTGTGAAACATGCACATGGAATCTTTTACAGATGAGCTTTGCTGTAATTATATTGTTACAGTTTCAGATTCTGTTGTGTGGTGGGTTTTTTACAGGGCACGGAAAACTTTCCGTGCATATTGACTCTCTTTGTAAGGATGTTTCTGAGCTGTAAAGTTACCACTTTTCTACAAAAGATTTACACTTAAATCAAAATCATAAGATAATTTAGAGTGGGAAGGAGCTCCTGAGCTCACCTAGTCCAAAATCCTGCTCAAATTTGTATATACACATAATTTCATTAGGGAAGAACAAGAGTTTTAACTCTTCAATTACTTTTTATTATACTTTTGTTCACACTTTTCATTAACACTTTTCAAGAAGAGCAGTTTTCTGGGTGCTGGTATCTCTAATAGTGTGAAATCCATAGGACTGAGTTTATCAGGACCTTAAGTACAGTCCACACATCCCTGCCTGTTACAAGCACACCAGATTGATTCTTCCCATGCTGACACAGCGTCCAGAAGTGATGTGATTTCCTGGTGGAAAGTTCCTGAAAGTGTGTGTGTGTGTGTGTGTGTGTGTGTGTGTGTGTGTGTGTGTGTGTGTGTGTGAGTTTTTTTTTTCAGAAAAAGCAGGTAGGATGTGCTAGAAATGGACCCAAAGACAAGCTATAGATGGAGCAAATGCTGCTTGGCTGTCAGAGAGCATCTTCTCATGGACCATGACATTAATTCCTAGATAATAAAATGGAGCTGGAGAGTCTCCTCTGGTGTTTATTCAAAAGGAGAACTGGATTTCTCTACTTACTCTCAGAAGCAAAATCATCCATGAGTTACAGATAGCAGAAAAATATTTATAGCCTTCTCTAATAAGAAAATTCTTTGTGTAATTTCATATCCCATTGTATCAGTCCATTACAGATTTCATTTCACATACTTTTTCCTACCTGCTAACAGAAAATCAAATGTGTGCATACATCAGTGTGTGTGCATTTGCAAAAGCAAGTACCAATAATCTAAATGTAAATATGTTTTTAATCAATTCCTGCTGTAGGCCCTAGAGGAGGAATGAATAAATGAAATTTCATTCAGTTTTCCAAAACAACCTTTTTTTTAGGCTTTTTTTAAAAAAAAAAAAAAAAAAAAACCATGAATTTTCTAGGAGTTAGATCTTCAGACTTTTAAAGCTTTTTTAGCTTTTTTGAATTCTCTCAGTTTAGGCAACTGAAACCAGAAGAATGAACTGCTTTTGGAGCTTCTGCAAACCTCAGTGTTTTATATTACTCTTCAATAGAAACAGTGATAGGAGCATCAGACTAAGCTGGCAGGAAGGTTCACTGATATTTGGCAAAACGTAATCCCACCTGAAATTATGAGGAATATATAACTTAAACCAGTAGTATCTTAAATAATGATTTTGTAATGATTTTTAAAAAATGCAATCCATTAGCATTAATATATATTTTAAAAAAATTTGATACCCAGTAATATTTGTCAGATACTTCCCTTTAACAGAATTACATGTAATACTCTTTACTTCCATTTTTTCAAAAACATTTTTAATGCTTCTTGTGTTATGCTGATAATTTATGAATTAAATGATCTCAAAACAAATCATTACTTGAAGTGTTAACCAGCATTTTCATATTGTTTCAGCAAATCTTCATGGTTTTCAGTATAAAACATCTTGTGTGGGTTCTCTATAGCTGTTACATTGGTACCAGTAAAATATAAATGAGATTGGTGTGGACATAAATATGTTCAGCTTGTGGTTCTTTGATGTTAATTATGGGGACATGCATTTTGAATGTTTTTTGGGGTTTTTTTTTTTTGCTATGTGTATTCTTCACATTATACAAGCAGTATCTTTCTGTTTAAATGGTTTAAAATATGACTGTGTGGTCTCCTCAATTTAATTAGTTGTGGGTTTTTTAATTTTAGGGCTTAACTTTCTCTTTTCATTATGAAGCCTTTTCTTCCTGACTAATTTTAAGGAATCATTTTGAAGAAATTAAGCATGCTGGGTTTATTTCTTTTTGTCTTTTCCAGCTGTAGGTATCCAGATGAAACTTGAATTTTTCCAGCGGAAATTTTGGACTGCAAGCAGACAGGTATATTTTAAATTGAAGTCATCTTTGTCATTGAATCCACAACAGGTTTTTAACTGTGGAAGTGATGATCTTGTCACAAACAAACTATTGTAAAGAAACAATGTACCTGAACACTTGTTCTGGTTTTACATTTGGATACAGAAAAGGAGAATTCAGTGATGAAGAACAGTTGCTTGATTTTTTGGAAGCAAGTAGAAAGTTTATTAATTTTAGGTCCCAATACATAAGGAGTTACTTTGTTGGCACGTGGTTTTTCTCCCTTAGAAAAAGTGTATACAGTAAACAGAAGTGTGGTATTTGTTTCCAGTGATGGCAGAATCATGACTTTTCACTTAGGTTTTCTCTTTAACACTAAGTAACTCTAGGATCACACAGATTAATTAATAAAACTACATTTCTGAATCATGGTTGGCACTCATAGTGTTCAATAAACTTTACCTAAACCATTCAGGGGTAGAATTTGTACTCACTGAAAAGAATAATTTGTACTCATTGAAGAGAATAATCAGGTGCTTTCTAAAGATTAGGAGATGCCATCCCTGGTTTGAGAATAGATTGGAACTGTGTTGTTACAGAAAATAACCCTGATTCCACCCCTACTGGAAAATCTTCTCTCATCTCTGAATGGTCTCAAAGATTTCGAGTATGGAGGAGACTGTGGTGTTTAAAGCAGCTGAAATTGTTACAGTGTGAATGAACCCTTTCTCTGCAGGGTGGAACAGAACACATTTGGTGAACAATTCAAAAGTTTACACTTCATTTTTAGAATTAATTTAGATAAAGATGTAATCAATATCAACTCTTTTAAAATATTGCTCATATGAATTTATAAAATGTTTTATTTTGTAAACTTCAAATGAGAATTGAAAATATTTTATTGCTTTTTTTATACCATCTTTAGTGTGCATCTCTCGATGGCAGATGTGCTATAAGTTGTGATGATGAAGTAAGTATTTAACTGATTCTTTTCCATGTGTGCCTCTACTGCTGTACAAGATACAGTTGATGAATTTAACTTGAACATCTCATTGTACATTATGGTCTTTATCACCTTGTAAATATTACACGATTTAGACAGTGAGACTTCTGTTATGCTTGTTACAGGTACCCACTGAATTACAAATTTGACTGCAGTACCTCAAAGTTTTGCAATAATTTCTGCTTTGTGAATCCAGTTTGGGAAATTATTTGAAGCAGTGCTAAGGCATTTGTTTATTACTTTATTGTTAATAAAAAAGAAACCACTAGCAGTTTAAAGTCTTCAGCTGGACACCAGCAGGAACCATACAACATATATAGAAATTTAGTAATAGTGTGAGCATTTAGACATTCCAGACTTTTTCTTAATGACAAAACACAGTGTTGATTCAAACAAATATCACAGCTCCTCTGGTGAGTCTACTGACTTTCACAGCCTCTCTCAATGGCAAGAGAATATCTGCTGAACATTTACAGTATAAATTAAAGGATTTAAAAGTAAATATGAAGACTTTAATGCAAATTGAACGACACAATAGTCAACAAATATTAATGACTATTAGTAATGGCATTTTAATTGTAAGTGTAATTAAAAATAAAGGGAATCAATTTATGAGTTTGTGATACATTTGATCCTGAAATAGAGACAACCCATTCATTAAATTTTTTTTTTCTTGAGAGCTTTGAATTTGCTCATTTATTCTTGTTTTCCTGATGCCTCACGTTTTATTTTAATGTTCTATGTTCTTTCTTTTTCATTTTTGGTTTCTTAACTCATGTTACATTCATTTACTGTTATTGTATACTGGAGCTGTGAAAAATACATAGAGGACTTGGACTGGATCAAAGTTACTGTAGTTCAGATGTGTTCTCAGACCTCAGTTAACATTCTTGCTGTGTTTATTCTGGACTTCATGCCTGCAGCTTTACAAGCTCAGGGACTCTCCACCTATGGAAACGTTCCCCTTGAAATCTGAAATTCACTGAACTTGAACCTTTGGGCAAACCTGAGCATAGTTCTCTTCCAATACCTGTGAAACATTGTGAATTAAACCTCTTTCATACAGCTGTAGTCCATGCAAATGCTATTATCCCATGCATAAATCTTATATCAGAAATCTGCTTGAGGTTTGCTAGTAATCAGTAAATGCATTCTTCTGCCCTTTGTCCATGCTAAAGTTAAATTAGAAGCTGTTTCTTTAACACATTAATAATATTGAAAGTTATTTATCTTGCTGGCAAGTGGTGAATGAACAATCCTGAATGAATATTTTTTTTTCCTAGTTAATTTCTAAAATGGATTAAAATAGAAACTCTCTTATTTTCACATTCCACAAAAAAAATATAGATTCCATTTATTGCATTATGTCTGTTTCCAATAACAGTGCAAAAATTAGTATCTTTTAAAGTTCTGAACTGTGCTAGAGAATAACTAAATCTGAGAGAATTGAGACATGGCCACTAATTCTTGAATCGAGCCAGTCTTTTCCCAACAGCACATAAGCTATAAACTATGAAATTAAGCCTACACTTTTCTAATCCAGCATGACTTCTTTTATTTATTTTCTATACTATGGAGAAATACTGTTTCTAAAGCAGTATCTTTAGATTAATCTTCCATGCATGAGGACTGCAAATGTGTATCCTCAGAAGGTCTCAGTGTTGACTGAGCCCCTCTCCTGCTGCAGTCGGTGGGAGGTTTCTGCTTGGCTTTGGGGAGGGCAGTGTTGTGCTGTTAGAGCCTGAAATTCTGAAATTCCATCCTTCACACACCACTGAGGTTAGGGAGCTGCCTCTTCTGAGTGCACCAGCTCTGCTCAGTTCTTTGCCAGCATCATCAGCTTTTCACATTGCTTTTGCCAACTTTGGGCTTTCTAGCAGATCAAAGGTTGAAAATGAGTTGTTTCAACTTCCTTTCTGACAGGTTTTCTGTCACTGGGGGTGCCTGTAGCTTGGGTTCTCCTATTAGAATGAATATCCTGCATTTGCATTAGGGAATGATGCTCATTCTGAACTTTTGCCTGGTTTCAGCTGTTTTGTTTTTTTAAAAAAAAACCCTCCAAGCTAGCATTTCTGAAAATTTTTCCTCTTTGGCCCCACAGAACAGTACTAATATGTGGCCAGAATGAGAATCAGGCACATCTAAGCATCTCTGGAAATATCAGACTGCATTTTCACATCTTACAGAGCTACTACTGCATGGGGCTGCTTTCCCCCCTAAAACAGCACAGAGATCTTGCAGGATGTGCACAGTGTAGCAGAAAGCATATTTTGTCATATTTCTGTACAGCCCATTTGCAGCAGGAAAAGTTTTGAATTAAAAGCAAAGCCAAGAGGATTCCTGTATTGAAAGCCATTCTGCTTATTTTTTCGTTTTATACAAATGTCATAGAAAATTAAATAAGCAAGGATAAAAATGTTGCTGATTTAGACCAACAATAGAAATACAATAAAGATTTAACATTGAGATAGGTATGTGGCAATACTGAGGAGAAACTGAGTTATATCAAGGTTTCAGGGTTTGAGTTGAACCTTATGTTTAAACTCTGAAGTGCAGTAATTAAAACTTTGGCTGTAGCAAGTAGTTCTATGAGGTTAAAATGGTGCATGTGTGTGTGGAGGGAAGCACTGAATTGCCTTTACCTTATTTTATACAGTTCAGACGTCTGACCTACGGAAAGCTAACAGTCCTGCCTCTAAATCCAGTTCCCAATTAAAAATACAATTTGAAAAGCTTTAGGAGACCTGTGGGGCCTCTTTTACAGAAGTTTTTAGTCCCATCCCCCAATGAACAAATTAAAAAATATTGCCTGGTCCCCTGTTGGTTCTGCAGGCTGACACTGTGTTTTCATTAATACATCGTTAGGGTAATGACATTGGGCTGATGTTTTTCTCCAAATACAGGAGAAGCCATCAGGAACACCAAAGTTCTCTACCTTTGCAAACTTTGCTGTAAGGAAAACTTTTAAGAAGGGATTATAAAAACACAAAATTTTGGTTTTAATGTTTGTTTGTAATTACCTTATATCCTCCCATTCTGTACACGTTTTTTTTTTTTGTTTTATGTGAAACATAGCATAAAAATTAGATTGGGTAATATCCCATAACCAGGACTGCACTCATTTTGAATTTATGTAAAACCTTATACCAACCTGAAGGTTTTACCCATTTAGAACCGACTTAGAAGTATACAATTAGTTTATTGCTGTATCCTAAAATCAAAAACTAAAATAGTATTTTATTATTTTTCAGACAATCAACTGTTACCTAATAGATAACAATGGATTTATTTTAGTGTCTGAAGACTATCAACAGGTAAGTGTAAGATTTTTCTTGAGTCTTCTCATGTGACATATTAATCTAAAATCACTTTTTATAAAATAGGCCACCATCTGAAAATGGTAGGGAATTAGTAGCATCAATTAAAAAAAAAATTCTTTCTACAAACATGTCAGCTTTTTTCTCACAGGAGCTCAGTTTCTGTCTCCCATTGGAGCAGGGTCTGTTCTTAAACTCATAAATGTTCTCTTTAAAGACCTTTCTTGCTGCAGAAGTGTCTGTCTTCTGTAAGAGGCTTTTACTCCAAAAAAAAAAAAATCCCCGTGCCATTTTTGTCCCATGGAAAGATTGGGAAGGGAGGGGGGAAGGACACAGAGCTTTTGCATTCAAACTTAGGATAATGAGATTTTACAGAGCTGTTGGCTGAGGAGTTTGTTTTCTGAAGGGGATTACAGTCATCGAAGGATTAAAACTAAGCACTCAGCATCACAATGGAGAGGACAAGAAATATGATTATCAGAGAATCATAGAATGTTTTGCTCAACCCTGCAAACCTTATGAAGGAACCACCGTCACCATTCTCATTAACTTTTGTCTGAAAACTGCTGGGATGGTGCCCCAGTCATGCCAGAACTGTCTGAAGTTGCATTGTTTTAATGTGTTGGGATTGTGAATAGGAATAGCCACACACCTACTTAGCCCTCAGCTGAATTAAATTTGTTATGATGAGCATGACCTAAGAAATACACTCATTATGGAATGGTCTTGATACACTTGAAATATGTTTGTCCTTTTGTTGTTGTCACTATTTACAGGTGCACAGCTGGGACTTGTGTCAGTGATTTGCCAGCTCATAGCTGGCTGTGACCAGTAATTATTAGGAAGAGATGTTTCTTTTGGTAGTCACCTGATAAAAGTGAATCGTTTGGATGGCTGTTGCACCAGAAGTAGACTGGATATGTGTTCTGAGCTGTTTTATTGGTTAAAAGAATCCAAGTCTGAGATGGACAGCAGAGAAGTCTCTATGTTTATGTAAATTTATGATAAGATGACATTAGTGTATGTGTTTTATATGTATAATGTGTATACGGGCTGCTGTGGATAGAGAAGGGGTAAAGAGGGATGATGCCTTATCAATTCCTGACCTATTTGGGGTTGCTTCAGCACTGTTTTTCTATCAGCTTTCCAAACACGACCTGAACTGCTCCAAGAATTAGGTTTTTGGGGCAGAGTAATTCTTCTGAATTACAACTAAATCCTGGTATTAAAAAAAATAATGATGGCCTGGATGTGACTGCTTTGGAGGAGAACTGGCATTTACAAAGGGAGCTTTTGTGGAGAGAACTGTCACTGAAATGTCTTCATAAGACTGGTGCACAACTTGAAAAATCAGGTTTATTACTGTCTAAGGTTATATGAGGCATTTATGGTTTGGAGTTTCTTGACATTGCCTGCCTCTCCAATCGTTAGGGTAATCTTTCTTCATCAGTCAGCCAGGGCTATTGAAGCTGGTATTTTTAGTCATGTTCCTTGTGTTTCTAGGAGACTTTACATACCCATATGTTTTGGAAAATGTTCCAAGATTCCCCTGAGGAAAGAAAAAAAATAAAAAAGGCAATACTTGCCTTTTAGGTGGAGGAATGCCTTTTTTTAGCTAGGGCTGTAACTTTTCTGCCTGCAAACTCCCAGGTGCATACTTGAGGTCAGTTAAGTTCCTTGTAATGGAATTGGGGTTTAGTTGATACAAAACCTATGGAATCCATGCAATTTGAGAGTGTAGTGCCCTTTCCCCCTCATAAATTGTGGGATTTCTCCCTTTAAACAATGAAGAGAAATATCCAATCCTCCTGGGAGCTGAGGCTCTAAAATAAAACAAGTCTTCCCAAGGTAGAAAAGTGCTGTACTTGCAAGATTTTCCAGTGTCACATGAATGGCTGCAAATGACGGAGTCACTTCCATCCTATGGACCAAATTCATAACAGCAATGTTTGTTTTCTCAACAGAGATTTATTTTTATTAGTCCACAAGTACTGAATAGGGACAAAATGAGTAATTCATCAAGCTGAGTGGTTTTAAGTATGAAATGACTCTGAATGGAGTTAAAATTTATAGGATTGATGAAATGTACTGTTCCAGCTCCTTAAACAGGTCATACAGGAATTATAAACAATGTTTTTTAATGACTGTTTATGAAATCCTCTCACAACCTGTTTATATCTTTTTTGAGTAACATTTTAATCACAAGAGTTTGTGATCAGATTACTGTGTTTTCTTTACAAGCTTTAGGTTTGGAAGGCTTTTATTTTTGATATTAGATGTTATATAATGTACCTCAATATATTGTTTAAGCTCTCACATCTGCTCAGGGTTCATAATATAATCCCAACAACTTGCCCTGACTTGGAAGTCCTCTTCAGGTTTTATGCAGCAGCAGTCCTGAAAACCTGTCTGTGTAACTCAAAGCCACTCCTGTTCAGGTATTAGAATATGCCAGTTTAAATTCATTCCAGTGTTGTTTTGCATTTATCTATCCTTTTGGTAATTCCTTGCCTTTTCCCCACACAGACTGGTTACTTTTTTGGGGAGGTTGAAGGGGCTGTGATGAACAAGTTACTAACAATGGGCTCTTTTAAGAGGTAAGAATTAACATTTTATCTCTTTAAAAATGTTTTAACAAAAAAAAAAATCAAAGTCATGTAAAAGAAAGCCAAGACTGGCGGTGTGGATGGATTCTCATCTAAACCTCTTTTCTGTACAACCTGAGTGTAATTTGATTCCATACACATCAAATATTGAGAGTATTGGAATCAGCCTACAGTGAGTTTCTTATTAAAAGAATTGGTTTATTTGGCTACAGTGCTACAACTGTGTCCCTTTCCTCTTCCCACTGGGCTCAGGTGGAAAAAGTATTGGGCCATATCCACTACTGAGCAGTTTTAAACTGCTCTAAGTAAAACATTTACACCACGTTATCATTTTGACCTGTAAAAAGTTGGAGATTGCTCAAGCTAGACAGTGAAAAATGCCCTGCTATTGAAGGGAAAATACACTGCCCCAGTAATCCATCTCCATTCACTAACTTACCTTTGAATGTGGTTGTGACTATTGACCTGGTCTCATCATCATGATAACATTAAAAACTAACAGTATTTTATGTGTTGTCCTTTGAAATTAATTATGCACTCTGAGGAATTAAGAATAAAATTTGTCTTTAACCTGTAACTCACCACTGGAGTCTTCATGGCTTTCACATGGTCTAAAAACAGTTCACATGGTCTAAGAACGGTTCTGTATCCCTTTGTCCTCTTACAGCACAAGGAAACTACTTTTATACTTTTCCTTTTTCTTTTCCTGTGCATTTGTAGTATGAATAAAAAGACTGATGCCATCCATCACTGAGTTTAGTGACAGCACCTGTGGCGGGGTGTGCAGAGGCTCTCTGGGCAGGTGGTTTGTGGGCTTGCTTGGGAAATCAGCTCCCCTAAAGGCAGAAGCTTTCTGTGCTGTCTCTGTGCATGGCAACTGAGTACCACTGCCAGTAAATCACTGACCTGAAATGTGAGGATCTAGCACTCATGGAATCATCCCCAATCCTAGTTTTCTGCAGGTGGCAACTTTTTTGCATTTAGCACTGCATGTTTAACATATGCTGTAGAAGGAAGTGAAGTAATACCTGTTTATAGACTGGATTTGGCAATGAAAGGATTTGTTTGTACAAGAGATGAAGCATTTTATTTAATGCAAAGGACAAATACGGTCAAAACTAAGGGGTAATTCTTCAACTTGTCCCATTTTGTTTTGTCTTGCCCAACAAAGCATTTCAAATGGAGCATCTATTGAGTGATTGACAATGGTGGGTACCACCATTGAGAAAACAGGCATTGCTTGAGAGTTCCATCTAAAATGCAGTGGGTGGATCTCTGGAATGAACTATTAGGATTTTGCTGGTCTTGGACTTCAATAGACATAATGAAGCCATAATGTCAATGCAACTGAGCAGCATACTAAGGAAAATGTAAACACAATGAGCCGATTATTCAACCATGATAAACTGACCATTGCAAATCAGTTAAAGACAGGACAGAATCAAAGTGGAATAACTGCAAATGAGCAACTTCCCATACAGTAGATAGCAGCAAACTCTCAAACTCTCTTTGGGCTGTGTTAGATGAGGCCTTTAAATAAATTATTCCAACAATATGAAGAAGAAATCTTCACTGGTTCTCATGTAAAATAGTCAGATGCATTTGCAATATTTTTAAGATTATTAATTTGTCTGGGTGGGGACTGTGTTTTACTTTTCTAAAATGTATTTATATGAAATAAGAAAAGAGTACTTGGTGCAGTGGCAAGATCTGTGAGCAGTACCATTTCGCTGTGAGCACAGTGTGGGCACTGCACACATTACATTGTCATTGCTGCTGTGAGCGTGCAGGCAAAGCAGGGAGCGAGCTCTGTCCTTTGCATTTCATCCTGACAGTACCCAGAGCCATCCTTCCCTGCAGTTTGCTTCTTGCGTGGATGTACAGTCCAGCAGGTGAATTTGATAACTCTGCCCTGTTTGAGCTGGTCGTGCCCCCTTTTTGGGGAGTTTAGGAGGTTCTCTGGAGCCTGATCTCCCCTGCAGCAGCCGTGTGCCCTCAGTGCCAGTGCCAGTGTGTGCTCCCACCTCCTGATTCCTGCCAGCTTCCAGGCTCTGCATCCACAAAAGGAATGAAATAACTCTTTGTCTGTTCTCCCAACTGCTGCAAATTTGGAGTGATATAGAAGTGCTTTGTAGGGTTGGGATGGAAGTGCTAAACAAAAGGGGGTTGTTTGCTGCTGACTATATTTCTTTTCAACCTGCAGCAGGATGAAATTCAATTTTTATGTTCGCTGTTTATTTTTTAAAGTGAACTTAAATACCTCCTTCCCTCCTCAATTTCTTTAAACTCAGTGCTTCTTTTGAATAATGTGTGCATATGTATGTATGTATATTTTCTTAGTTTATGGAGTTTATAATTAGGGAGAAAAATTATATCAGTGCCTGCACAGCAACGTGACATGCTCTATGATTTCATTTAGCAAAATTGTGTTTATCTTATACCTTAAGTATTGCACACAGTTAAATAATTTAAATATGATTTAAATGTATTATTAAATAGATTAGGATGTGCTTATGGAAAAGTATCTGCTTCACATAACTTAGAAAAGTTTCTTTATGGTTTTCTCAGCACTTTGTTTATATAAAAACAGTGAAAAAAAATTCAACAGCTCAAACCATGAAAATCTAAAAAACCAACACTAACATCAGGAAAATTAAGGGCTATCAAAGCAATAAGATCCCTAAAGAAATAAACATAATAAATGTGTAAGAGAAAATATAACATCTCTTGACTTCAAAACACTTTCACCCTTTCCAGTGGCAGGAAAACTAAGCAATTCTATTTGACAAATATGGAAGCAGCATCATTTCCTCTTACAGTTCTCTTTCCACCAGGCATCCTCTTACATAGAAGAGTCTATGCATTGGTATTTGGTATTTAGTAATTTTGTAATTTTGGTATTTGGAAATATTGGTATTTGATCAGGTTGTCAGGATGTGTGACTGAAGTGGCACAGCCCTGAAATGCAGCTTTCCCTGGAGCCAAGGCTCGCTCTGTCAAGTTCTTGTTGCGCCAAGATCTTCTCTTGTTTCTCAATTTTTCTTGTAGTGCAGATCCTTCCCCTGAGTTCTCCATATGCACAGAGGCAGACTTTCATCTATCTGTCTTGATTTGCTTTATAAGTAAAACCTTGCAAGTGTTTTGCCCCCCGGTTATGAGTATAAAAGAAATTCAGAACTTTGTTCTTCTCCTAGAAAGTAGTTTAGTAAATTCTTAAAGCCAAATGATGAGAACAGTAACTAGTTGCTTAACAACAGAATAGAGTTTTCACTGAGGCAGCACAGCCTCCAAATGAAGGATATTTTTCTATTTTGGCCAGTATTTCGTATTTAAGCATTTTATTAATATATTCTCAACATTTTTTTGTGCTAAATTGACACTTATATTTAAAATTTGTGTTTATTTTCATGTGGATTTTTACAGTCATGGATTTATCTGCCTATTAATTGGGCAAATTGTACATGTATACTTTGGAGAAGATCAGAGGTAAACTGAAGGAACATTCCAAATTGCAGTTGTTGGACTTGGCATTGGACAAATTGTCATTACCTACAAGGCTTACTTTTTATTTTGGCATTTACTAAATGTGCATCTGGTACCTGCACACTGAAACTCCCACATTGCTGTGGGGTATGTTTTCTGCTCATGTTTTTTCCATGTGATATCTAAAATTAATGTCTTTAATCTGAGTTTTAGGCATTGTTCAACTTTATGTCTCTGTAAATATTACCTTTAATGCAGTGTGTTCATATACAGGATTAGTTTATACACTTAAGGAGAAACACAGACGTGTTACATAAATGAGTTCTCATTCCATAATCTGTAAATACAGGTTGAGTTGTAGCTTTTATACATGTTTATCCTCGAGATTCTTGCCAATTGGGAATAACTGAGCAATAAAAGCAAAGATTTGTGATGACAAGTTTGTTTTATCAAAATGCTGTAATTTAGTTTTATTTTTTTCATTGATTTTGGTGAAAGGTGTTATGCTGGCAGCTTCAGGACACTAATAATCTGTCAGTGCAGCTGTGAGAGCCAGAGCAGCAGTCTGGGGTTTCCTACAGTGTCCTGCTATCTCCCCACAAGACTTAGAAACTGGTTTGCTCCTTCCACCATTCAACACTGTCCCTCTTTCCTCTCCTTGTGAGAATGCAAGACAGGCTGCACAGCTTATGTCTGAGTTATGAACATCTTTCCTCCACAAGCGAGCTGTAGTCACCACTAATTTTTGCACAGACTACTGGATAAAGCAAAGTGTCAATAATTAGGGCTTCTGTATTATTGGCTTCCTTTGTTCCACTCTTCAGAGCGTTTTTTTTTTTGTTGTTGTTTTCCTATAAACCTGACGTTTACTTCTATGGTAAGAAGCTTATTATTCATACACATTATTTGAAACCCACCAAATCTTGAACTGCTGACAAAACGTTTGAAATTTTATGCACTGAAGACCTTTCAGTTGCTACAATTTTCAGGGGTGGTATTTTATACTACCAAGTAGAAATCCATGGGTGTGATGAAAACCTGGCTGAAAATAGAGAGTACATCTGCCAATATATCCTGTGCTGCTGGTAGGTCTTGGAATTTTAATTTTCTTGAACCAGATTCTTACTCAATTGTAAGTACATTGCAAAGTAGGAGAGCGGAATTTACTGTATCAGGAAATTGACAATAAAAGGGTTTCCACTAAGATGTGTTTGGCCCCTGAAGTTACATAAACTGACAATGCACTTTTTGGTTGTGCTAAATAACTGATGCTGAACACAATTGCTCTTTGGACTTCATGCGTGGAAGTTGACAGTGTGGTGGTGTCAGAAAGTCTCAGGAATGTCCTCTGTAGCAAGAGCAGAGCTCCCCTGGGAGGTGCTGGGGTACAGAGCATGGATTTGGGCACAGAGCTGGGCTCAGGCATTTGTGTTCCCTGACTGTGATCAGTTGGACACAATAAGGTCAGCTGCAAACAGTTAAAGCTGAAATGCAATCACTTCAGAAAGGGTGATCTGGAAGCCTTTCTTCTGCAACACTGGTTAAGCCTTTCTGAGTGAGAAGGAAGTCTATTTTCTAAAATCTCAGAAGACTTTAGCAGTAAAACTACATCCTGGAAATAATACCTGAGCACAGAAACACTCCCGTGTCCTAAACAACTGCTTTGACTACAAATGCTCTAGTACCTTTGATAAGGAATAGGGCTGGCTTTTGCTTTCCTATTACATTTATAAGAATAAAACCAAAACAACTGAATTTGAAATTGTGAATACCTTGGAACCCATATAATACCATTCATAGTGACATAGAATGAAGAACTGGTTCAATATGTTGCAGTGTTCAGATTTCAACGTGGTTATCAGCTTCATCCACTGATCTTTGAAGTGTTTACAAAATTCTTGTTTCCAGGTCTTTTAAGAACGTTTTGCAGTAATGCTTTCACTGATAGATTTTGCACATCCTGTGCTATAATTGAGTCATGTTTAGAAACTTTGAGCTAGGTGTTGAACAGCCCACTTTGAAAGTTACTGAGATAGCAATGCATTGTTTTAAACCCAAAACTCATTCCAGACTTTTGTTCAGTAAACTATGTACCTTTCTAAGCATTTGCTCCTTTTTTTCTTTTTCTTTTTTTTTTTTTTTTTTTTTTTTTGTAAACCTGGATACATTAGCTGATTTCTCATTTTTTCCTGAGCCAGAACCTTCACACTGGAAGATTCAAATATGTTTCCTCAAATATGGTTACTCAAACTAAACTCATCTAACTAAAACTAATATCATCCACAGATGATATCAAGCCTTTCCAACTTCTGTAGAGTTCTACATGATTTTGAGGTTGCTTATTAAAACTTTCCCTTCTGCCATCACTCTAATGTTTTTCCCCCTTTTAAATGAAGAATCTTGTACCTACATTTATTTATTAGTTTTCTTACTCTTAATAGTAGTGCAATCTTAAATTGCTGAATACTCCCTCCAATAAAATAAAACAATCTACAACAAATATAACCTAGCATGTTGAGGTGCAGTGTTAATTATATTTCTGGTTATTTGTAGGAGTACATATTTCAGTCTTTAATACATTTTTATCTTTGAGCATTAATAGAAACTATTGACTCTATTAGAATGCAATAATTACATAAGAGATATAATACGTGTTCAAATACTGAGGGGGGAAAGCCTTTAATCAATATCACAAATTAAGTTCAAATTATAATAGATCTTTCACATGACATTATAATAGTATAGCTATTCTTTCTATAGTATAGAATAGTAAAATAGTGCATATATATGTACTAATATATATATAATAGTATTATTGTACTATTTGATTAACACTGCTTAGCAGAATAATGAAAGCCACTGGTTGACCATGAAGTTCTGCTGTGTGAAACTGAAAGCTGAGACATTGATTACACTTTCAGACATGGAACAGTCACCAAACTTTAAAAATATATTGAAAAAGCATTTGCAGTGAATACAGACAAAATAATTTATTCTGCTTCTAAGGCTAGATATTAAATTAAGAAGGATGGGACTCTTTCATCCATATAGAATTTCTTGGTACTCTGCAGAGAGCACATTTACACCTCTAAACTGCCTGTTCCTATGCATTTATCTCTTGCCTCCATCACTGGGTGGTCCAAATGCACACACAACAACACTGTGCTTGGATCCAGAGGAATAAAATAGTTGAGCCAAGCAAGGCTGGAAAGACTGAGCTCTAGAAATTCCTTTCTAGGGGCTGGATCCCGACCATGGTTAAAGGGTGCAAAAGAAGGAAGGGAGAAGCTAGGGGAGGTGGTGTATTTGTGCATGCCACAGAGGCAGCACAGCTCACACGGTGTACTGCTCTGTTTGTCTTGGCAGATCTGGGTGCGCGGATCTGGCTGTGGGCGGGACTCTGCCAAGGATGGTCAGTGTGAGACTCACACCTTGTTTAGGTCTCTAGTTATGCGTTTGTCTCCCATGTGCCTCTCTCTGCCAGTCCACAAAACAATGGCTTCCTAGGCGTTTCTATTCTCAACATAAGAGAAAAGCAATCATGTAAGCAGTATGACCACATGCTAAATGTTTAGTTGAAGCTGAGACATCCAATGTATTAAAGATTTTGTCTGCAAGCCAGAAGGAAAATACAGACGTAATAAAGAAGCTTTTAGTGATGATTGCTGTCACAAAATTAGATCAGAAAAAAAAAAAAAAGTATACTCTCTACCACAATGGAATACATTTTATTGGTACAGGTTGCAAGGTTTCATGGCATGCAGTGCAGGATGCCTCATGGTGATGCTGAATGCATTTCATGACCTGCTTTTGGCAGCTTCTGGGACATCCTCTCTGTAGCTGAATTTGTGTGCTCTTCTTTCCTCTTCACTTAGAAGCAAGGCACACGTTGCAAAACACTGAAGCCCCATCTCATACCTTTATTAACCATCTCTGTCCAGTTGTGTTCCCTTGTCCCTCTGATGATGCAAAAGTCAAATGGAAATGTTTAAATAACAACAGTGAGTTCTATATATTTACACTTGTTGCAAATTATCAGCTAAAGTTTCTTTACATCTGCTACAGATTTTAAATGTTTTGTTTATGTGGATGGATAAAGTTAATTGATTGTTCTATGGACAGACAGATTTAGAGAAATAATCACAATAATTCTATGTACTATCTTTGAGTTCTGGATTTTACATTTAGATCTCTGAAGTGTTTCAATGATGAGTAAAATTGCAAACATAAGTAAATTTCCCTGTTTGCTATGCATCTGAGGAGGCTTCTAGCATAAGTTGATTATAGCAGGTACCTGGAATATTTTGCCTTCATGAAAAGAAGTAAAGGTAAACCCATCCTGCTTCAAATATCTGTACTGTCAATGCACTGAAATTACACCTCTGTCTCCTTCAGAAGCAATGCCATGTTACAAAGCAGTAACTGAGATGCTGGGACTGTAGAAGAGCATTTCTGCTTTTACTGGAATTCGAGTGGTCTGTTGTGAGAAGCCTCTCAAATGCATAGGCTCTTTCACTTTCTGGGGCTAAATGTGCTGATCCTAGTCCAGAACAATTATTTAAGCATTGTGTTGGATGTAAATTCTCCTCCTCCCCACATTGTTCATGCCATTATGTGTTACACTCTCTGCATATTTTCCCTGGTTCCTCCCAGTTATGCTTTTGCTTTGTTCTGTAATCTGCTAAAATCCTTACAAAGTTTTCACAGCATTTCTTTTGCTCTTTCATGTAACCTGTATTTTAAGGATCCCATTCCCTCTCCCCTCCCACCCCCGCGCTGTTACAATTTTTATTTTCCTGTCCACTTTGTGAGCAGAATGTTCCATATCAACATTTTTATTCCACTGGGTTTTCTTCTTTTAGTCAAGCAGTTTTCTGTTCTTCCCTGTAGAATTACACTTTATGACTACCAGGCCATGTGTAGGACAAACAAAGAGAGTAGCGACAGTGCCCATAGCTTACTGGACGTAAGTACAGCACATCTTGTGAGCATCTTTCCATGCAATCATCAAAAAAACTGTTGAAAATATCTCATGGCCATTTTTAGATTGTTATTTTGATTTGGAATGCTTACAGCTCTCGTGTTTATCCCAGAGAATACAAAGGGTGGTTCTTTACAAAGTGTTCAGATTTTTGGAGTTCATGCTGGGCCACTGGTTCTGTCAGAATATTCTTTGCACTGTATGAATCTGCCTTCTTAGGAATTTGGAAATTTGGCAATAGATTGTGTTTTGTTTGGGGGATTGGAATCACATATGCCTTTCCTGTATGTAAACATGTAATTCAAATTAAAAATTAAGATTGTTTTATTTTATATGAAAGGAATGGTTCATTGACAAGGCATGCAAGTCAATGATTTTAACAATTTCGTTTTCTTAGTATTTAAACATGTCTTTCAAAGTAGAATTTCGATGTGTTTAAACCCTTGTGTTGCAATTTTAGTACAAACCCTGTCCTTCTGCTAGTCTTGATTAGAGACAATCTGGGACAAGACAATCTTGCCAAGGCAACACTTCATTATTGCTAAATCCTGTATCAGGGTAATAACCCTAAGGATGCTTTGTAACCATGCATCTCTTTTACTGAGCGCTATAATAATCTATCAGAAATGATCAGGTGTTAGATAGAGGTTTTCAATATTAAAAAGGAACTGTTTTCACAAATAGATGGCAGTAATAGCATGAAAAAAATCTTACATAAAGAGAACAGCAGCAAAAAACTGGCAGTTCTTCCAGTCGGGAAAAGTTACCTGATAGTATTTTTAAACTCACATCTAACTAGAAAAATATAGATCTAACTAGGAATAAAAAAATAACCCTTTCATAATTTTGTACTTTTGGGGATGTTTTCATTTGCATATTTACATGACTCTGTTTTTCCTATGCCTGGAGTTACAGCATTTATCAGTTTGTTATCTACTAAAGTCTGAACCCGAAGAAAGACCATCTTCACATCATAAATACTAGACTGCAATGAGACCTAAACTAGAAATAGAACAGGATGCTGTGAAAGGCATTTGCATGAAATATCCTAAAATATATTACAACTCCTAACAAAAATCCTCTATTTAAAGACTTGGCGCTTCAGTTCAGTTTGCCTAAGCACTCAGCATGTAGAGCTGAAGTTACATCCCTTAAAGAGTGGGCTCTAATCCAAAAGATATTTTTTTATTATTCCAAATTTTGTCCAGGATATCCAGGGAGAAATCCCTGCATCTGTTATGGGATACACTGAGACATGTCAAGGATTTTTTTTATTTAAAGATAGCCAAGCTCTTTAAATCTCAAGTGAGTTTTGGTGATCCTCAGTAAGAAAGATGAACAGAGTTTTAGGTTTTTATTTTCCTGTTGATCCAGTCACTTCTATCAACCATGACTATTGAGAAAGTATAAAAAGAACTTGCATTAAAGACAGGTAGGGCTTATTCCTCATTTTTCTTGGGTTTGTGCCCAGTTTTTTACATATCAGGTTATTAGGCAGTATCCAGTATAATTTCTGCTTAAGCAATAAGTTTGTTCACAAATGTTTATCCTTCCTCTTGAGAATTATGGTTTTATAAACACAGGAATAGAGACAGGGACAGGAGATGGCAACTCCCTAAAAAGTTCCTATTCTAAATAGCATAGACATGGAGAAGAGGAATCAGAGTCTCTGTCCCAGCCTTTTAGACTGTGGGAGTGAGATGATGAATTAGGGATGGACGAGACTTCAAGATCTCCTGGTCCATTTCTTTATCAGAATAGTCTTGCTGCTTAACAGCGATCCAGATACTTTGTTATTCAGCGTTTCTTTTGTTTGGATTGGTCCAAGACCTACATGATTCTCCATAGAACGACATTGTTGCAAATGTAGCAGTGCCATGGAGCCACAGAACGAAATTATTTTGGCTCTCAGTGGTGGTTTAAATATGTAGAGAGAATAAAACTCCCACAGTTTTTGCTGCAGTTTTTGGAAGAAGTATCCGTGAGTGGAAAAGGCTCCCGAGTAAAATCCCATTTCATGAGAATGCATTTATATCAATGTAATGACATGTTTTTTCCGCTGGAATTTAAAAACAAAATATTTTTTCGTTTTCTGTAGACATAAATGATTTTTTTCAGATGCATTGGGGCTTTAAATTTTGATTAATTTCCAATATTAAAATAGTTACTAAAACACATGGTATATTTTATACTAAATAGGTATTCTTCATAAGTAACAATGAATACATTGTTTTACACTAAATTTGGCATTATGAAAACAAAATTATACAGCAAATTTAATTACTTGGGCATGAAATTTCGGGTTTTCTGATTTGGAATGAAAATAAAGAAGATGTCACACAGGGCTGACGTTTTCTTTCATCTCCAGGAAAGTCTTGTAGTTCTTTATCTTTTCCTATAAGACAGGGTTTCACAGGTGAAAATCTTTCCTGTCTCAGACATTGTGCTTTCTGCTGGGTTGTGATCTCAGCCTTCCACGGCACCGACTGAGTTCTTTGGGTCTGTGCGTCCTCAGCCCTGCACAGAAACTTTTTCTGTGGCACTTGAGAATTTCAGATGTCCTGTTACTGCTCTGCCAAACAATACTGCTTCAGTGAGTGCTGATTTGGGGTGGTTAATCCTGATTTTAGATATCTGAGGAGTTCTGTCTTTATGATTTCTATTTGATAAAATGCTCTGTTTATATCTAAAAGAGACTGCAGCATTTTATGCAACTAGGACATCCTAACAAAGGTGAGGGAGACAAGAAGAAATTCCAAATTTCTGAAAGCTGACTTTTCTGCCTGACTTTCTTTCATGAGAGATTAATACTATTAATAGTATTTTCAAAAATGAAATATTCAGAATGTATTAGAAGTACTGTAAACAGAAGATTTTCAAAGGATTTTCTGTGTTTTGTTATGATGCAGAAAAAGAGAGGGAGGAGGGAAAAAGCTTCTTAAAGTGCTTACAACTGGACTGTCAAATGACAGAGATAAATGTTGAGGTAAATTCAGGCTTCAGAAGCTTTTCTGAGCCTAATGAGGCTGAGGTGATGAATGGAGATTTGCATTATAGAGATGCAAGCTTGTGAATTACAACCCAGGAAAAGCTCATATTACCCAGCCGAGCTGTTCCTCCAGCAATAGCCTGGGAAATAGGAACCCCTAGAGGTTAAAAATTTAAGAATCATTTGTAAAAACTTTCCTTTTCCCACTGATAATCTGTAGATATGACCAAGCTTGATAAAAAGGAAATTTCATTACTATACATTTTAGTAATCAGTGTAAAAATATTTCATGATCATTGAAAAAGGGGGGATTTTATGCTCCACATGCATTTGAATATCCAAAGCATTGTTTTTACATTAATAAATCAGTTAAGACATAAATGCTGCATGTTTTGCCTTTTTATTAAATGAGTTGCTTCTCTTCAGCCTTATAATGCCTTCTTTGCTGCAGTAAAGTGGATTATGACTGAACTTGTCTTGTAAGTAGATTTCATCAAGAATGTAATGAATAGTTCTATGAATTATTAAGTACTTGTATTTTTTAATATTGGTATTTCTACCTTTTGCATTTTACATGCATTGTGCTGCTTTTCTCACATTATTTTAAATACAGTAATATTTGTCAACTTTTTTTTCCAATTCTGCATTTTTAAAATCAGATAAAATTTTGGCTGTATAACGGCAGTTTCACTTTTATTGCATTCACTTATATCTGCGTGTCTCTGTTTAGCAGATCACAATACACAACCCAAATTTCTTTCTGTGGTTCCTGTTAAATTTTAGATACATGGCTGGCTGTTTGTGATGCTGCTTGGGTGGGCTGCTGTCAGAAGAGAAACTTGTTACCCTGACTCACTGTATTGTTTGTCACTCCATAAAATTCTGTAAGATGGACCCATTACAGTGCCAGATAAGGTGTACTTGGATGTTGCTGAATTTTCTATCTCCATTAATTCTTCTAAAATTCTCAGTTAATTCATAATGATCATTATCTTTAAGAGAAGGTGCCTAAGAACTAGGAATATCATATGGAGAAGAGGCAGCCTTAAAATGTATTGTGTTATTAAGCTATATGATTTATTCTTCTTCTAATCTGAAAGCAGTGCTGCAGATATGAGTGAATTTTATCTTTACTGACATAGAACTGATATTTTTCTTGTAGTCATTTTGTTTAATTGTAAATTGCATGAGCTTTTTCAAAGTTCAGAATAAGAGTTAAGGAGAACTAACTGACTGGCTGCTGCCAGAGGGCAAAGATTGATCTGAAATGCAGCTTTCTAAGTGAATATAAGGGAAAGAAATTGTGTTAAAATGAGACTGATGCTACATATCACAGCTTTGAAAATGTTAAGAAATCTTCTATGTTTATAAATATTGTAGATTCATGGGCATATGATGAACTGGATGTTGGTTTCACATTCTTTATTCTTAAAACAACTTGTCGACTGATTTTTTTCAGTCCATTCTTCCAAATAAATCATGGTCTATTTTAGTGTTCTTTACAATTTAGTTGGAGTTGATTAGACAGTGCATAATCTTTTCTGCTCTTAGAAATAAAACGGATTTATTATTTCAATTTGAGAATTTATAAAAGAAACTATTTTATGTGTATTCGTGTATGGTAGCCAGGATAGTTATAATCCCATGGCAGTTTACTAGAGTCAGAATACACACATGATGAAGAAATAATGTTCAACAGCAAAAATAGTGTGTGCTGCCATGCTTTGAGAATCTTAATCAGTACTTCAAATATAATCAATATTTTAAATTAAAAATGGGTAAATTTATGATTTATTGATGGGGTTAATTTCAGAATAAGTTTTCAGAAGTAAAACAAACAAACAAACAAAAAAGCAGTAAAAATAAGAATAGCAGTAGTTGCTAATCCCAGAGTTATGCCAGTAACTTGAATTTCAGTTCTGTGTTAGTTTTTATTTAAAATAGGATTAGTATCATCAAGCTACTGCCAGTTTAGTATTTTGAAAACATTCTGTGGGGTAATGTGAAAACTTTAATAATTTCTCCAGGTTCCTGGTGGAATTTAATCTATGCAGTTGGTGGCACTCTGATCTAACAGCTAAAGGTAAGTGTGATTTTTTTCCTGGCATAATAGCAGAAATGCCTAGAGTAAATTGGACTTTTGAAATTCAGATGTGTGTACACTGTTTTAGATTAAATAATAAACATCTGATAATAGTTTTCCTCCTATTCCAGCATCCTCTTCTTTGTTAATGTTTCCTAAACACAACAGAATTAAGATCTTCTATGAATAACCAAGTGCTTGTGTGCTCTCTAGGAACACAGTACATTATTATAACAGAAAAGTTAAATAGTAGATAATGATTAAATATGTTTTTAAAAAACATTTCTCTTCATTCCAAAACAATCTTTGTGAATAAAGAAATTACACTGACCTTTTTTAGTTATACAACTTTTTTTTTCTAGTGATGCCATAAAATGTAGTAGAGTTATTGTGCTGATCAATGCCATTTCAAAAAGTGTACAGAAATACGACTATCTATATTATTACATAAAAAAATATTTTTTAAAGCTTAAGATAGTATATTTTATGCTAAAAATGGCTGATCTGGATTTTTTATCATTCCATTAAAAATAGACATTTAAATGTATTAAAATTCAATTTACTCAAAATATTTTTTTTAAATGCAGAACCTTCATTTGAAATAATGGGAATTTTTAATAGTTCCACTAAGAATGGGAGGTTTTCAGTGTAAGCTGTCTTTTTATATTTTAACAGACTTTTTATGGCATTTTCAGAAGTGTTACTCGAAAGTAAAGGGCCACTTTACAAGAGCAGTGCTCTTCAAGTGACAACTTAATAGGCAAATTGTGCTGTGTGTCATTGACTGGTGTAAGGATTTAAACTGAATTCTTCAGCTTCATATTTGCATATTTCTTAGCAAGCAGGGGATAAAATTGCTGCTTTAGGCTTCATTTAATATTTGCATTGCCTGGATACTAGGCTGTTTAAATGCCAAAATAATATCCTTTCTGAAGCTAAAATATCAGTCAGGCCCCTAAAAACCAAGACCAACTGTTCAGTGATTTCCCTAAGCATGAAGAGACCCATCCCTAATACTGAGGCTGTGAAGGAAAGTCAGGTTTGCTGTGCTAGACCCAGAAAATGCAAAACTTTTCCTTGAGGACTGGCAGCTGTGCCTGTCCTAGTCCTTGGTGTTTGCAGAGCAGCCAAAGCAGACAGTGTAGGAAAGAAATTATTTTTTTTCAAATGTGCTGTACAAATATGCCTTAATATATCCTGACATGAAACATCCAGTGGCACTTGTATTGTATGCTAGAGAAAATATCTTTCAAACACAACATCCTTCTTCATCTCATGAAAATCAATGTCTGATTTGTGTTTTGAGAGTGCACTCATTACAGAAGAGACAATCTTAGCTTGCAGACTCCCTTTTATTTAAAACAAAACTATCAGTGCAGCACTTTGATGGACCAGTATTATTGAGAAATTTCCATTCATGTTTTGGTTGACAGAGACGTTTTAATTTCACAAGTCACTTGTTCCATTTCTTTGATGAGTTAGGAGTATTGGAAATCCCCCCTCATCATGCTCACTGGAATGTCAATACTTTTAGGGTAAGTGCCTGCCCAGCTCATATCTGGTTAGATAGCAAGGGATGGTTGTTTGGAGGCAGCATATTTTAGGAAGAAAAAGCTGAACATATTTCAGAAGATAGCAGGAGAGAATAGCACGTGCTTAGGTATGTTCTACTGCAAATGCTGTGTTACCACTAAGAGTTGTAGTATTTATGACTGCACTTCATAAAATTAAAATTAATAAACTTGCACATTTATTTTTTGCTTAACAATGCTTAACAAAGCTCAGGAAAAAAATATATCAGTTCCTCAAGTGGAGAAATTGGTTCCCACTCAAATTGTGACATTAATAGAATATGATATACTATGAAGATACTGGAGGGTCCACACACACTTGCCCATTTGCCAAACCCTACTATGGAAAATACGTCTGCACAAGATCTTGTAATTGCAATCACATTTGTAAATGAGAGAGAAGAAACCCTAAATCTTGGACAACCCCATCACCATCTGGACTCTAGTGAGGTGCAGGAAAACTGAGACCAATGAATCTTTGTCAGCCTCTTTGTTACACAAGCTGCATGTTGATACAGGTGAGGGTAGAATCAAAACACAGGTGATAAACTCCAGTCATTCTTGACAACAGATAAGGAGAAGAGAAAGGGAAGAGATGCAGTAGAGCTAGTAAGAGAATTTTCTAAAAAATACTGAACTATTATATATGTCACAACCATAGTGAAAACATCAGAAATAACAAAAATTTTCTGATCACTTTTATGAGATATGTGCATTTGGTGGAGTAATTTTTTTTTTTTATTACATACAAGAACTGTGAACAGTTCAGAAATGCATGCCCTGGTGTGATTGGAAGTGCAGATGTGGTGGCTCCCCTGGCACTGCTCAGTGGATGCACCACTCACTCTGAAATAGATCATCTCCAGGGGAAGGTCTGTCCAGCCCCAGAGCCTGTTCAGTGTAACCTATTTTTGTCATATCTCATCTTGTTTTCTCACTCAGTAATTAGTTTAAGATAGGGTTAACATTCGTGCTGATGTGCAAAGTGTATCTCTGTGTTAAGGAACAATGAAGGGGTGGGGAGGAAAAAGAAAGGGAATGAGGGAGAAACAGTGTGTGACAGATACTGGAGTGTGAGAGTCAGAAGAGCTGCTGTCCTGTAGTCTGACCTTGAACCAACCCCACTGCTTCCTGGTAATTCGGTTTCCCAGTCTTTAAGATGGAAATAGTGACGCTTTTTCCTTGCATTGCAAGGACTTCAGATTAAAGGTACTATGGAGTCTTAATTATTACTATTTTGGGAAGCAGATAACAAGCATTGCTGTTGGGTAAAGTAACTCTTCTGCCTCTCCCACCCACAGAGTTATTTTAACTGATAAAACCCTCCAAAGATTCCCAAGCTCTAATATAAAATAGATGTTTTGGCTTCAGTAAAATATGCCACAATTTACATATCAAATAAATGTAAACTCCCATGAATAAAGGTTAGTGATGCACAGCACCACTGAGATAAAAATGACAGTAAATCCATCTTGGATCTACACAGAAAGAATAAAAACTCATGCATAAATGTAAAGTAGATTGGCAATGGCTAAACCATTAATAACTACTTAAACAGTGATGTCTTGCAAAATTACATTCCACGAATAATTTTTTTTTTTTTATTTAATTGAAAAAATAGTGTTATGCACTGCCTAGGAAATCTCACAGGGTGGCAGAAGCTGAGTAACATTTCCGTTCTCTGCGAGCTCTGTAGTGCAGCATCTCATGTTGTTCACAATTTTGTGTGCTGTTCCTCTCATGTTCACATCAAGATGTTTTTTCCTGTGCCTATAGCGCAGAGGTTGAAACAAACCCTAGAGCCCTGTGATACTGAATATCCAGCCTTTGTTTCCGAGCGCACTATAAAGGAGACCACGGGGAATATTGCTTGCGATGACTGTTTCAAGTAAGCCCTTTCAATATTTTTTTTATACAACTGTTTGTGACAAAGCAATAAAACTGAATTATTCAAGGCTGTGTTGAAGAGCGTACAAGTCTGTTGTGTTTTATCCTATGTGCTGACCTCTGTCAAGGAGTCACTTCTCCTGTTACAGGGGTCACTTAAAAGTTTGATGCTCTTAAATTAAAGCCGTGCCTATTATTTTCTACCAAAAAAAAAAAAAAAGTAAAAGCAGTAGAGGCTTATGTTAATTTCAAATTGTGAATGTTTTGATACTTTTCCTAAAAAAAGGCAACATTCTAAGGCTGTAAGATTTAGATTCAAAAGGTAAGTGCTCTTCATTCTCCTGTCCAGGAGTGAAACCCTGCTGGATAGGTTAGGAATTCCCTTGTGATACAGTGAGATCTGGTTGTTTTACTAGAATGCCAGAGTTTCCTTCTTGGAACTGTTAGTCTGAAAGAGTGGGAGACGATTAAATCTATTCTCCAAACTTTCAGTGCTGGGAAGCTGAGTTAATAATAACAAATCTCAAATGACAGTGCTGTAATGTCGTTTCTACCAGTGCTGCTGTAAACTTGTCCCTTATCGAGCTAAAAGAGGAGGAAGACTTCAGTCTAGCTTTCCTCTTTCACACTGAAAATGTATTTTCTCTGCATTTGGTGTCCATGTACTGTGACAGTTTGACTGTAGTTCTGGTACATTTTACATGTAGTATTGCATAGATATTGCTTATGCAAATTTCTGTACTTTGATAAGTCTGTTAATTGGATTTCCTTTATGCTGAGAGGTTGTCATCACCAGGGAGATTAGTATTTACAGCAATAATTTGTCCATCAATATAAATGTCAGGAAGAATTTATAAGTTAAACAAAAATTGTTACAGCTCTTCCTTTCCAGCCTAAATCAATATGCAATTAGCAAATAAAGGTGAAAACTTCGCTTTGAAGTCAATAGGTGTGCTTCTGGACTTGCTCCTAAATTTTCTTGATATTTTCATTACTTTAAAACAGGAAATAGGAGTAAGTACACTGGAGATAAATTTTAAGTGCTAATATTCACTTTTCTTTTAGCACTGACCAACTTTTAAGTAGAAGGAAATTGTTAATGTCTAGTATGAATAATTGGTTTTGTATGGCTTTGTGGAATAGAAGTATGAGAGTGCTTTGTAAATTGATGCTCTGGAACCCTTTAAGTGCAACAAAAGGTCCCCCTGCCTGAAAAGTACAAACTCAACAAAATCAAGCCGTGATTTTTCCACTTGACATATCAAATACAATGAAGGTTACACTGCTGTGAGTGCTTTGTGCCAGCATTGTAGAATTTAAGCAGCCTTATTTTGTGATAATTTAAAAGGAGGTTATTGGGAAGTTCTGCAACAAATTACCATGCAATCCTGGAGGTGTTCCCTGCCAGGTTGGATGGGGTTTTCAGCACCCTGGTCTAGTGGAAGGTGTTCCTGCCATGGCAGGGGGGCTGGAACCAGATGGTCTTCAAGGTCCCTTCAAACCCTAACCATTGTAAGATTCCGTTTAAATATTGCAAGCAGACATGATTCCAAGCAAAGAAGATTAATTTAGCAGGACTAGGTTTTCTCAGAGGAATAGAGATTTTAGTCTGTGTTCCTAGGTAACTTCAGGTCAAAGGAAATAAGTTTCAAAAATAATACAATTCTGCAATACTTGGAAAGCACCAAGTTGGAAACTGAGTTTAGTGAAAATTATAGTATTTCAAAAATAATGCACTAAGATCTTTTTCATAGAAAAACATTTTGTGTTCCACAGTGGAAAAAAAAATAAAAGAAAACCCTGTAAGTTGCAAACTGATCTCAAGGCACCCATTATTTTTCTCCACAAGCAACGGCAAAACCTAAAGAAATAATCCAGAAGAACTATTAGATTCTCATGGGAAAGTTGTTCGTTATATCGTTTACCCACTGTCATTAACAATCTACAAATTGCATCTAAGATTGCAGACTGCATTGGATTCCAAATATTTTTGTTATAACCCAGGACACTTTCCCGCAGAACAGCTAAGGAATTTGACCCAAAGTCCTTTGTAGACCTACATCTTCTGACCCAGTTTTCTGTTTCATAGCCTCAGTACCAATAAATATTTTTACAAGCAAGTGTATTGCTTAATATTTGTAATTTAAGAATGATGGGTTCAACCAGTCAGAATTTAGATTCAACCTTTTATACAGTAAGCCTGGAGCTGACATTGTGTCTGGTGCTTAACCTGTGCAACATCACTCTGAACCAGTGAGATTATTTTCTGTGTCCTCCTTGGATCATGTTATAGGTCAATCTGTGATATATAATTGCAAATATTTATTGCAAATAGAAGAAGATAATTGTAAATATTTACCTGATTATGCATCCCGTGGAATACTGAAAAACTACTTGAAAGACACTAGAAAAGTCAGTATTTTGTGAACAGGTTTGCAAACAAAATTGTGCAAATACTCTGCTTTAAGCAAGTTTGTGTCAAAAGATACCCCAGTCCCTGGCTTTTGTTCCTGCAGTGTCAGGCACTACTATAGAGCCCTTGTCTGAAAAGGAGACTAAAAACAGTCTCTTAGTAGAAGTAAAAATGATGACTGATGTTAATTGAAACCATATAATGTTACTTAGATAAGACATTTTGGGGCACAAATACTGTGGTTTTGTTAACAAAGTCACAGTCATAGCCAGCAAGGTCACAGGGTGAGGGGCAGAGGCTCAGTTTTATTCTGTCCTGGGTGTGCTGTTATTGATCTTGCAGAAATACTGTCCATGCAAAGAGGGGCAGTTACCAGCTATAGTAACGAAAATTCATAAACCTTTCCAATAATAAATTTAATCATGGGTACTTGGATTTAAATTGAAGTATCCTAAAATAAATCACATAGTAGAAAGGACTACCTGCTTTTTTAATAGCTGGCTCGTGTTTTCAGCCATCTCTGGGAGCTCATTCAGTGGAAGGACACCTATGCACTTAAGCAGGCTTTGAGTCAGGCACTAAATATATACAGACATATAAAATGCACTCCCTATATGTAAACTTATCTCTTACAAGCAAACTACTTTGGGATAAATTGCAACGTTTAAAAACAATTTTCAAAAATACAGGTTTTATTAAGAAAGCAGGAGCCTAAAAGAAAATAAGAATTAACATAAGAATGTCATTAGGGTCAGGATTTGGCTGTCCCACCCCATAATTTGTTGTTATTCAATATCCCAATGATTATTAAATTAATCTGTTATTTAAATAGCAATCAAAAACAAGTCAACCCACATTTTCTATGCACTGTCAACAAGAGAGAAAAACTGGGATTTTTTTGAAAAATCTGAAATGGTTTCATATTTTCCAGTAAGCTATTCCTTTTTACAGAAAAAAAAACTAAAAAATCCAAACCCCATTACTTCAGAAAGCTTATATCATAGACTGTTCTATGACAGCCTCAACGTTGAAAGCAATTAATTGCAAAGAGAAATATTTTCTCTTTATCAGTCTCAACTGGCACTCTTTCTGTGGAGTCAGAACTGCACTAATGACACATGTACTTGGTATGGGCTTTAAATGTGTTGTGCTGCTCAGAGATGAGTTTCTGGTTAGACATCAAGCTTGAAGTTTTAGACTATATAAATGTCTCAGTGCTGCTTGTAGTTTTATGAAGTGTTGCCCCAATAATTTTTCCAATTTTAAATATGTGTTAACCAGTGTTCTTCAGCAGTGCTCACTGGGTACCTCACCAGTTTTTGCCTTCTGGGGATCTCATCATAACAAATTTTAGTTGCACTAAAAGTGTCTAAGAAAAGCATCCTTAGAATGTCAAAGTTGTTATAAATTAGAAAGGATGACGGCAGTTGAGATATTTGATCATAAAATGTTTGCTAGTCTTTTTAGTATATCTTCCCATCTCTTTGTAGAAAAAATGTTTCTGTCTAATTGCAAATCTCATTTATGCATGAAAATTCAAATGTTTTTGTTAAGCTTCCTTTAGGAAAATACCATTAATTTCAGCTAAAACTGCTATGAAGGTGAGTATAGAAATTTAGTCATTTGACTATTTATACTTTAAGCATATATGTTAAAATTTCAAAGTTGTAAGGAGCCAGTTGAGTGCATAGTTGCCAAATTTGTGTGTTCACTCTGAAAACTGTGGGCATACAGACTAGGGAGCAGTTGCACAGTCAAATGCTTAAAAATTTGCCCTTTTAACCTCTCCTGTTCATGTGTGATGACATATTGGACTTGGATGAAGATCAAAAATCTGGCCCTAGTTCCAAAAAAATCCCCCTTCTCTTTTAATTGCAGCACTCATGGGTCTACAAGGTCAATACCAAAACCCCAAAGAAACTGTTTTGTTTCCAGTTGATCCTTTGTTCACAATCTTAAGACACGAAGAGGAAAGTAAATATAAGAAAGCCATATTGTCACTAGGGAAGCAAGGAAGTATTTAGGTACAATCATCCTAACCCTGGGAAAGATTTGTGTATGTTTTAATTATGCCAGATATGAAAGATGAATGTGTTTACCTTGTTGGGCATCACATGTAAATTGCTTGTTAAAATGTATAGGAACTACTTATTTGAATAAACACTGTCCCATGTGTCATCTATTTGTCCCAATAGAGTGTTAGTAAGCAGACATTTAGTTAACAAGGAAAATCATCAATAAACCAAATTGCTTCTCTTGCTTTCTCATAGAATGGGCACTGAATGCTGATTATTGTCAATAAAAGAGGTAAATGGCAATGGAAGTGTAGTTCAGGGTGACACTGAACCCTTCATGTGGATTTATAATGGCAGATTTCAGTCTCGTCCACTAAATGCACAGATTTGGCAGTAACAGATAAATAACAACACAAATTAGATGCAGACCGCTCAGGGCATGAGTATATTAGTGTCAGGAGTAGTGCAATCTGCAGACATTAAAATGGTAATCGTTTTTAAAACCCACTTAATCTCGAGACATACCACCATTTGCTAAAATATTTCCGCATTTCTTCCTCAGTAGAAGCTTGC